CGCAAAAATATATTCTTATTAAGATTTTTTTTTTTAAAAATATATTTTGAAATATATTGATTATGGTCAAAATTGTAGCATTTCAAATATATGGCAATATAAATTTGGGAACAATATTTTAAAAATATATTTCAAATATATTTTTTTTTTCCATGTGGGTAACCTGTGTAAAAAATTAAATCATTGCCCTGGTAGGCAAGTAGATAAAAAATGTTAGCTAGAGCTGGATGGTAACTTGCTTGTTTGTTACTAAGTACATGTTAAACCACATGGCCATGTAAGAGCACCCTTTCCACGGGGTGAAAACTATATGTTTTCATATTAGCTTTAAAATAATAGATAATAAAAAATGACTTATAAAAAAAAAAAGGAATAAAAATAGAGAATACAAATAGAATAAGCGATGATGATGATGATTATTTTGTATTATTATTAATATTAATAATAGTAGTAGTATTTTATATTAGTTTATTATATATTATTTTGTTATTAATTATTATCATTTTATTATTATTATTTTATTATTATTGTTATTAATTTTATTATTATTATTTTTTTTATTAATTTTTATTATTGTAGTAGTATTTTTTATATTATTATTTTTTATCATTATTATTAGTTGTAGTTTTATAATTTTTTTATTATTATTTTTATTATTATTTTTTAGTTGTTTAGTTAATTTTTTTTATTAGTGTTAATTTATTATTATTATTATTATTGTTGTTATTAATATTATTATTATTATTTTCATTTTTTTATTATTAGTTGTAGTAAACTGTATTTTATTATTTTTTTTTCATTATTATTAGTTTAGTAGTATTTTTTTTATTATTATTATTATTTTTTTTTTATTATTTTATTTTTATTGTTATTATTTTTTTTTTTTATATTATTTTTATACTTTTATTTTTTTTTATTTTTTATTTTATTAGTTGTAGTAGTTTTTTTTTTATTTATTTTTTTATTTTTTTTTTTATTATTTATTATTTTAGTATTATTTTTTTTTTTTTTTTTATTTTTTTTTTTTTATTTATTTTTTTTTTTTTTATTATTTATTGTTATTTTTTTTTTTTTTTCATTTTTGATTTAGTTTTAGTAGTATTTTGTTTAGTTTTATTTTTATTTTTTTTATTATATTTATTTTATTATTATTTTTTTTTAATATGTTATTTTCATTTTTTTTTTATTTTTTTTTTTTTAGTATTTTTTTTATTATTTTATTTTTATTTTTTATTTTTATTTTTTTTTTTTTCATTTAATTTTTATTATTATTTTTTAGTTTTAGTATTTTTTTTTTTTTGTTGTTTTTTTTTTTTATTTTTTTATTTTTTATTTTTTTTATTATTATTTTGTTATTTAAATATTTTTATTATTATTATTATTTTTATTTTATTATTTTAGCAGTTTAGTATTATTTATTATTATTATTCAGGGCTTTTTTTCAGGGGGAAACTTTTTTTTTTTATTTTTTTTTGTTTTTTTTTATCATTTTTTTTTTATTTAATTTTTTTTTTTGCTGGGGTTTTTTTTTTATATAATACTTTTTTTTTTTTTTGGATTTTTTTTTTTTTATTTATTGTTGAGAGAGGGGTTATTTTTTTTATTTTTGGCTTTTTTTTTTTTTTTTTATTATGTTGCTGAATTTTGCAAATTTTTGCAAGGGATCTGCTTTGTGGGAGGGATTTATTATTTTTAGCTGCTAAGGTATCTATAAAGTTGCTTTTAAAAATTTTTTGGTTTATTTTTTTTGGGGGAATGGATTTTTTTTATTTATTTTTTTTTTTTATTTTTTTCAGGGGGTTATTTTTTTCTATTGTTTTTGGGGGGTTTTTGTTTTTTTTTTTTTTCTATTGCTTTTTTTTTTGATAGTGTTGCTGGCTGCAGGGGACCCATAATTCTTTCTTGTTTTTTTTTATTTTTATTTTTAAAACGACTTTAATTTATACTTTTTTTGTTTTCTTTAAAAGGGCGGTTTTTAAAGGTGGGTTTTTTTAGAAAATAAGGGATTTAAAAATATTTTATTTTTTTTTTTTTTTTTTTTTTTTTGGGGTGATTTTTTTTTTAGTAGCTGAACTTTTAATTCTGAGAAAAAAAACACCCTTTTTTTTTTTATATTATTTATTATTATTATATTTTTTTTTTAGTATTTTTTTGATTTTATATTTTTATTACTATTATTTTGTTATTTTTTTTTTTATTTTTTAGTTTTAGTTTTTAGTTTTATTTATTATTTTATTATATTTTTATTTTTTTTATTTTTTTAGTTTTATTTTTTTATAGTTGTATTTTATTATTATTTATTTTTATATTATTTTTTTATTTTATTATTATTTTATTATATTTTTATTATTATTATTAGTAATAGTAGTAGTAGTATTTTTTTATTAATATTTGTGGTATTATTATTATTATTATTATTTAGTAGTTTTAGTAGTAGTAGTTTATTTTTTTATTATTATTTTTGTGGTATTATTTTTATTATTTTTATTATTTAATAGTAGTATTAGTATTTTTTATTATTTTATTTGTTTTTTTTATTTTATATTAGTATAGTAGTAGTTGTAAAATTTTTATTTTATTTGTTATTATTATTATTTTTATTATTATTATTAGTTTAGTAGTAGTAGTAGTAGTATTTTTTTTATTATATTTGTTTTTATTATTTTTATTATTATTATTAGTATAGTAGTAGTAGTATTAGTTAGTTGTATTTTATTATTATATTTGTTTTTATTATTATTATTATTATTAGTAGTAGTTTTTAGTTTTTTTTTTATTATTTTGTGATATTTTTATTTTTATTATTATAGTAGTAGTAGTAGTTAGTAGTAGTAGTATTTTTTTATTTATTTATTTTGGTATTATTATTTTTATTTTTTTTATTTTTATTTTTATAGTAGTAGTAGTAGTATTTTTTTATTATATTTGTTTTATTATTATTATTATTTTTTTATTTAGTTATTAGTATTTTTTATTATTATTTTTTGGTATTATTTTATTATTATTTAGTAGTAGTTTTTTAGTTTAGTAGTAGTAGTTTATTTTTTTTTTATATTTGTGGTTTATTTTTATTATTATAGTAGTAGTTGTTAGTAGTAGTATTTTTATTTTTTTTTTATATTTGTGAGTATTATTATTATTATTATTATTAGTAGTAGTAGTAGTTTTTATTATTATATTTTATTTTTTTTTGTTTATTTATTATTATTATTATTATTATAGTAGTAGTAATTTTTTTTTTTATTATATTTGTTTATGGTCACTGTGTATGCCCTATGTAAGTTTGTTGCGCCAAAGGGACAAATTTTGGTGCCGAGCCTGGCAATTTTTTTTTTTTCTATGCACGTTTGGGTGGGGGGGTGGGGCATTCATTTTTATTGGCACCCAAAACATAGTGTGATTTTGCTGCAATTGTCACACAGCAAAAAATAAAATCTCAAAAAATAGTGGCAAAATTGCACCACATTTTGTGTGCCGTTAACAGTGAATGACCCCCAAATGCATGGTGCTTTATTTGCTGCAATTTTTAGTGTGATTTTCCCACATGGAAGAAAAAAAAATATATTTTGAATATACTTTAAAAATATTCTCAAATATATTTGAAATATATTTGAAATGCTACAGTTTTTTTTTCAATACATTTCAAAATATATTTCAATAAATAAATATTTCTATCTATTATATATACACACACACTGCATGTTGAAATGCATTTTTATTACAGAATATATGAAAAATATTTTTAAAAATACATTTTAAAATATATACTGTATGTCTTTAAAAAAAAATTTAATCTACATTTTTGGAACTCATTTACAAATATATGTAAAAATATATTTTAAAATGACTTTTTTATATGTAAAAAAAAAAATCTGTGTATGCCCTATGTGTTTGTTGCGCCAAAGGGTCAAATTTTGGAGCCAAGCCTGGCAAGGTTTTTTTTTTTTTTTTTTTTTTTCATGCTCATTTGGGGGCCATTCATTCTTATTGGCACTCAAAACAGTTTTATTTTTTGCTGCGATTGCCACACAACAAAAACCTCAAAAATAGTGGCAAAATTGCACCACATTTTGGGTACCGTTAAGAATGAATGACCCCCAAATGTGTGTTGCTTGCATTGATGTCATTTTTAGTGTGATTTCCCACATGGAAGAAAAATATATTTTGAATATATTTTAAAAATATTCTTCTCAAATATATTAACATATTTTGGCCGTATTCAATATATTTAAAAAAAAAAAAAGTGTGTATATATATATATATATATATATATTTATATATATATGTATATATATATATATACACACACACTGTATGTTTAGGCTCCTCCTCCACTTTGGCATGTCACATGTCACAAATTATTAGCGAAACATGGGAGAACGAAATATGGTCATACCCACATGGAAGAAAAATATATTTGAAACGCTACAATTTTCGCCGTATGCTATATATTTCAAAATATATTTCAATAAATTATATTGCCCTATGTAAGCTTGTTGTGCCAAAGGGTCAAATTTTGGGGCCGAGCCTGGCAAGTTTTTTTTTTTTATGCACGATTGCATTTACAAATATATGTAAAAATATAGAGCCTGCGAGAAAAAAAAAATTAGAATTTTTTTTATAGCAGAAAATAAAAAAAAATATATATATTTTTTTTTTTCAAAATTGTTGGTCTTTTTTTACTTATAACATCAAAAGCAAAAAACGAAGAGGTGATCAAATACCACCGAAAGAAAGCTCTATTTATGGGGCGGGGAAAATGATATACATTTTATTTATGTACAGCCTTTCATGACCGCGCAATTGTCAGTTAAAATAGAGAGGTGTCATATCGCAAAAAAAAAAAAAAAATGGCCTGGTCAGGAGGGGGTTGGAGTAAATCTTCTGCAGGTCAAGTGGCTAACCATGAATAGCACCCAAATGTGTGTGTCATGCATGTTGCCGCATTTGTAGCGAGATTTTGGCAATGCAGGCAGAATCAGGGGCCTAAATGTTTGACCCAGGGGCGGACTGACCATTCGGGCACTGCCTGAGGGCCCAGGGTCAGTAGGGGGGCCCCATGAGATGCCCCTAGTACCTTTCATAGGATTTTTTTGGGTGTGGTTTGAGTGTGGGCGAGGACACAGGGGCCCCATGATCCCCTATTGCCATTCTGGGGCCCCATGAGATGCCCCTAGTATCTTTCATAGGTTTTTTTTGGGGTGTGGTTTGAGTGTGGGCGAGGATACAGGGGCCCAACGATCCCCTATTGCCCGGGAGGCCCCATGAGATGCCCCTAGTATCTTTCATAGGTTTTTTTTGGGTGTGGTTTGAGTGTGGGCGAGGACACAGGGGCCCCACGATCCCCTATTGCCCGGGGGCCCCATGAGATGCCCCTAGTATCTTTCATAGGTTTTTTTTTGGGTGTGGTTTGAGTGTGGGCGAGGACACAGGGGCCCCAACGATCCCCTATTGCCCGGGAGGCCCCATGAGATGCCCCTAGTATCTTTCATAGGTTTTTTTTGGTGTGGTTTGAGTGTGGGCGAGGACACAGGGGCCCCACAATCCCCTATTGCCCGGGGGGCCCCATGAGATGCCCCTAGTATCTTTCATAGGTTTTTTTTGGGTGTGGTTTGAGTGTGGGCGAGGACACAGGGGCCCCACAATCCCCTATTGCCCGGGGGGCCCCATGAGATGCCCCTAGTATCTTTCATAGTTTTTTTTTTTTGGGTGTGGCTTTGAGTGTGGGCGAGGACACAGGGGCCCCACAATCCCCTATTGCCCGGGGGGCCCCATGAGATGCCCCTAGTATCTTTCATAGGTTTTTTTTGGGTGTGGTTTGAGTGTGGGCGAGGACACAGGGGCCCCACGATCCCCTATTGCCCGGGGGCCCCATGAGATGCCCCTAGTATCTTTCATAGGTTTTTTTGGGTGTGGTTTGAGTGTGGGCGAGGACACAGGGGCCCCACAATCCCCTATTGCCCGGGGGGCCCCATGAGATGCCCCTAGTATCTTTCATAGGTTTTTTTGGGTGCGGTTTGAGTGTGGGCGAGGACACAGGGGCCCCACGATCCCCTATTGCCCGGGGGCCCCATGAGATGCCCCTAGTATCTTTCATAGGTTTTTTTGGGTGTGGTTTGAGTGTGGGCGAGGACACAGGGGCCCCACGATCCCCTATTGCCCGGGGGGGGGGCCCCATGAGATGCCCCTAGTATCTTTCATAGGTTTTTTTGGGTGTGGTTTGAGTGTGGGCGAGGACACAGGGGCCCCACAATCCCCTATTGCCCGGGGGGCCCCATGAGATGCCCCTAGTATCTTTCATAGGTTTTTTTGGGTGCGGTTTGAGTGTGGGCGAGGACACAGGGGCCCCACGATCCCCTATTGCCCGGGGGCCCCATGAGATGCCGCTAGTATCTTTCATAGGTTTTTTTGGATGTGGCTTGAGTGTGGGCGAGGACACAGGGGCCCCATGATCCCCTATTGCCCGGGGGGCCCCATGAGTTGTCAGTCCGCCCCTGGTTTGACCCTTCATTTTTTTTCATTGCCCTAGTATACATTTTGTATGTATTGGTCATGGTAACCCCCGGTTTAAAATGTAGACCGCAGTAACCCCTTCTAGCGAATGTCCAGCTAGTTGGCGTCAAATGTTCCTCCAACGTTTAGTCGTTGTGAAGACCTCGCCTGTTACATTTACATTGTAATTATTGTATATATAATAAAAAAAAATGAAAAATTCTCGGTGAGTGATTTGTCTCGGGTGCTGTGCGGAGACTCTCCCCCATCTCAGGACGAGGATACGGCCATTGAGAGCGAGGAGGTGATCGCTACCTTTACAAAACAGGCGTGTAAAGATTGTCGCTGAAAATTTAATTGCTTCTACCCGATGTAGCCGGGGAGGGAGCCTGCTGTTTTCAATGTATATATGCAATCTCCTGTATAATGCCGGAGCTTTATTTCTCCTTCTGTGCCGAATTGTATCGCTCTGGAAATAGGAGCAAACGGCTTCCAGGATGCGGGTGGAAATGAGCCGTGAAATCCCCTGTGACTATGGTGGATAAATGCCTTGATTACAGAAATATGCAGATGGAGAGATCGGCGGTCCCGGCTATCTTATTCCATTGCAGGCGTGGGAGTGTTTTTTACATAGATTTCGGCCCCCGTTCCCACTCATGGCTCATGGTCAAAATACTAGGCTGTCTTAATGCATGGGCGCTGCCCAGGGGCCCCAGGGGCATGGGGGCCTATGATAATCTTGCATTATAGTGTACTTGGCAATTGTCCCAGATTTGCCGGGACAGTCACACTTTTTTACTAAGCTGTCCCGGGATGACCTGGGTATTGTGCCAGAACCTGTACTGTGCCCTCCTGATCCCAGTATTGTGCCCTCCCAACTCCCCCTGTACTGTGCCCTCCCAACTTCCCCTGTACTGTGCCCCCTCCTGACTCCCCCTATACTGTGCCCTCCCAACTTCCCCTGTACTGTGCCCTCCCAACTTCCCCTGTACTGTGCCCTCCCAACTCCCCCTGTACTGTGCCCTCCCAACTTCCCCTGTACTGTGCCCTCCCAACTTCCCCTGTACTGTGCCCTCTCAACTTCCCCTGTACTGTGCCCTCCCAACTTTCCCTGTACTGTGCCCTCCCAACTTTCCCTGTACTGTGCCCTCCCAACTTTCCCTGTACTGTGCCCTCCCAACTTTCTCTGTACTGTGCCCCCTCCTGACTCCCCCTGTACTGTGCCCCCTCCTGACTCCCCCTGTACTGTGCCCCCTCCTGACTCCCCCTGTACTGTGCCCCCTCCTGACTCCCCCTGTACTGTGCCCCCTCCTGACTCCCCCTGTACTGTTCCCTCCTGACTCCCCCTGTACTGTGCCCTCCTGACTCCCCCTGTACTGTGCCCTCCTGACTCCCCCTGTACTGTGCCCTCCTGACTCCCCTGTACTGTGCCCTCCTGACTCCCCCTGTACTGTGCCCTCCTGTCACCCCCTGTACTGTGCCCTCCTGTCACCCCCTGTACTGTGCCCTCCTGCACCCCCTGTACTGTGCCCTCCTGCCTTCCCCTGTACTGTACCCTCCCGGCCCCCTGTACTGCCCTTCCCCTGTACTGGGCCCTCCTGCCTTCCCCTGTACTGTACCCTCCCGACTCCCCCTGTACTGTTCCCTCCCGACTCCCCCTGTACTGTGCCCTCCCGACTCCCCCTGTACTGTGCCCCCGACTCCCCCTGTACTGTGTCCCCCGACCCCCCTGTACTGTGCCCTAGGACCCCCCCTGTACTGTGCCCTCCCGACTCCCCCTGTACTGTGCCCTCCCGACTCCCCCTGTACTGTGTCCTCCCGACCCCCCTGTACTGTGCCCTCCTCCCGACTCCCCCTGTACTGTGCCCTCCCGACCCCCCCCCCCCCCTGACTCCCTCCCATGTACTGTACCCTCCCGACTCCCCCTGTACTGTGCCCTCCTTACCCCCCTGTACTGTGCCCTCCTGCATCCCCTGTACTGTGCCCTCCCGACTCCCCCTGTACTGTACCCTCCCCGACTCCCCCTGTACTGTGCCCTCCCGACTCCCCCTGTACGGTGCCCTCCCGACTCCCCCTGTACGGTGCCCTCCCGACTCCCCCTGTACGGTGCCCTCCCGACTCCCCCTTGTACTGTGCCCTCCCGACTCCCCCTGTATTGCCCTCCTATCATTCCCTCCCCTCCTCTCCTTCCTCGTACTGGGCCCTTTGTGTTGATTGGTCTTTGATTGTTTGAAATCAATTTTATGGAAAGTGCTAATAAATATGTTTAATTTTATTCATACTTTGCTTCCTGAGAGTAGGTGCATAAATTGGGGGAGGCTGGCAGGGGCCCCAGTGCATTACTTTGCCCAGGGACCCATGATCCTAATAAGACGGATCTGTCAAAATGGCACCCCGGTGCACCTTACCAATGGGCGTGTTCCAAAAAACATAGTGTTTCCAGCTTTTTTTTTTTCTTCATCTACTTGACCTCCGGAAGGTTTTACCCCCTTCAAGACCTGGCCATTTTTTGCTATTTAGCGCTGTGCTACTTTAACTGGTAATTGCGCGGTCATACACCACTGTGTCCAAATGAACTTTAGATCATTTATTTTCACACAAATAGAGCTTTCTTTTGGTGGTATTAGATGAGTTTTATCATTTTTATTATATAAAGAAATCTAAACATTTTGAAAGAAAAAACACAATATTTTCTACTTTCTGTTATAAAATATATCTAAGAAAATCAAGTTTCTTAAAAAATTTGGGCCAAAATGTATTCTGCTAAATGTCTTTGGAAAAAAAAATCCAATAAGTGTGTTTAGTTATAGCGTCTATAAACTATGGTACAGTATATATATATATATATTGGAATTTACGCAGCTATAGACGCTATAACTGGTGATGGCGGTGATCAGTGGCTTATAGTGGGACTGTGATAGTGTGGTGGACAATCTGGCGCTAACAGACCCTCGCTGGGAGGGACACTAATTGAATATCTGACACTGGTTGCGCATGCAAGTCCCAGTAGATCAGTGGTTTTTGAAATGCTCAGACCAGCTCGTCTGGCACCAACAACCATGCCATTTTCAAAGTCACTTAAATCCCCTTTCTTCCCCATTCTGATGCTTGGTTCAAGTTGTCTTCACCACGTCTAGATGTCTAAATGCATTGAGTTGCTGCCGTGTGATTGGCTGATAAGCAATTTGTGTTACCGAGCAATTGAATGGGTGGACCTAATAGAGTGTCAGGAGAGTGTATATACCATACCTGTAGTAGGCATCAATACTACATCCAGCTACTAGTGATCTCCATGAGCTTCTGGGTCTCATGCCAAATGGCTACCCTGCTGCATTATGAAACACAAGAGTTCAGCCTCTCGGCAGGAATGCCATTCAGAGAACACTTTTCATTTTCTCAATGAATGCAAAGCTTTCCCTGATTGGATGGGGTGGAGACTGTAATGTCGCCGCCCCGTCTCTTCACGTCATCTAATCAGAGAAAATGCAAAGTGGTCTCCAAATGGTGCCTGAGCAAGCAACGTCCTGTGTTCACAATGCAGCAGGTCAGCTTCTGTGCTGCCAGTCAAGTTCCTCCACCCCAAACTGGCTCCTCCATGTCTTTATGGACCTTGCTTTGTGCACTGGTGCGCAGTCATGTTGGAACAGGAAGGGGCCATCTCCAAACTCCTCCCACAAAGTTGTGAGCATGAAATTGTCCAAAATGTCGTCCCTGCACTGGAACTAAGGGGCAAAGCCCAACCTTTGAGGAACAACCCCACACCATAATCCCCCCTCCACCAAACTGTACACTTGGCACAATGCAGTCAGACAAGGACTGTTCTCCTGGCAACCGCCAAACCCAGACACGTCCATCGGATTGCCAGACAGAGAAGCGTGATTGGTCACTCCAGAGAACGCGTCTCCTCTGCTCTAGAGTCCAGTGCCGGCGTGCTTTACACCACGGTATCCGACGCTTTGCATTGCACTTGGTGATGGAAGGCTTGGATGCAGCTGCTTGGCCATGGAAACCCATTCCATGAAGCTCTCTACGCACTGTTGTTGGGCTCATCTGAAGGTCGCACCAAGTTTGGAGGTCTTTAGCTATTGACTCTGCAGACAGTTGGCGACTTCTGCGCACTGTGCGCTTCAGCATGCGCTGACCCCGCCCTGTCATGTGACGTGGCCTACCACTTGGTGGCTGAGTGGCTGTTGTTCCCAGTTGCTTCCACTTTGTTATAATCCCACTAACAGCTGAGCGTGGAATATTTAGTAGCCAGGAAATGTCACGGATGGACTTATCCACTTATTCAAGATTGAGTGTCCATGGAGGGGATTGAAACACCTGAATCACATGATATGGAGGGGATTGGAACACCTGAATCACATGATTGGGAGGGGATTGGAACACCTGAATCACATGATTGGGAGGGGATTGGAACACCTGAATCACATGATTGGGAGGGGATTGGAGCACCTGAATCACATGATTTGGAGGGGATTGGAACACCTGAATCACATGATTTGGAGGGGATTGGAACATCTGAATCACATGATTGGGAGGGGATTGGAACCCCTGAATCACATGATTGGGAGGGGATTGGAACACCTGAATCACATGATTTGGAGGGGATTGGAACACCTGAATCACATGATTGGGAGGGGATTGGAACACCTGAATCACATGATTGGGAGGGGATTGGAACACCTGAATCACATGATTTGGAGGGGATTGGAACACCTGAATCACATGATTGGGAGGGGATTGGAACACCTGAATCACATGATTGGGAGGGGATTGGAACACCTGAATCACATGATATGGAGGGGATTGGAACACCTGAATCACATGATTGGGAGGGGATTGGAACCCCTGAATCACATGATATGGAGGGGATTGGAGCACCTGAATCACATGATTGGGAAGAGATTGGAACACCTGAATCACATGATTGGGAGGGGATTGGAACACCTGAATCACATGATTGGGAGGGGATTGGAGCACCTGAATCACATGATTTGGAGGGGATTGGAACACCTGAATCACATGATTGGGAGGGGATTGGAACATCTGAATCACATGAT